TATATATATATATATATATAATCACACTTATTTGAAAAGTGACATAAAAAATAAATATTATCACACTCAATCAAATTAAGTGTGATTAAAATATCAATCTAATTTTTTTTATCACACTTCCAATAAAAGTGAGATCTTTTTTTTTTTGTCAAATGTGATCTTTAACTATTTTTTGTAGTAGTGTGGAGTCAAAAAAGCAAAAAATGAAGAGGTTAATATAAGAAAACTCTTTGACGTCATATCATCATTTAATTGCAATACCACCTCAACACCTCTCACCTATGGCATTAAAAGCTGCATCATTCCAGAAATGTAGGTAAGGCCTAAGACGCGAACACAGACCACCTTGGATTGGGACCAGCTGTTGGCATAAAGCAACACCCAAACGACGACCACCAATTGTTCACCCAAGATTGGTCATCCTGCGTCACTTGCACCTCTGCACATTGCAAATAAGTTGCCACCTCAGCGCATGATGATTTTTAGTGTCACAGTCCCCAGTCTGTCTATATGACTATTGAGGGGTTATCTGGCCACTGCTACAACAACACAACCTCTAGGAAAGATCTAGAATTCTACAACCTGACTGAGCAGCAAAACTTCCAAAAAAACTTTGAAACTCTAGCCACTTCCAACCATCCTCCTACCCCAATTTAGCAGGTTTCAAAATTCCACCAACCGACCAACACCAAACAACATTTCAAAAAATTCTCACCCCAGCTTCTCTCCAAGACATCAACAAGCTCAAAACTAAGAAAAATGACTGATCAACGTATTCACAGCCCCTTTCAAGCATATGCCTCCCTTATTTGATATTTGATATTGACAAGGAGAAACAAAACTTTTGAAAATTTTAGTGCAATGCCAGCCACTTCCATTTATTCACCAATAGGAGCAGATCCATTGCACAGTATAAAGAGTACTGGGCCACAAAGTAAATCTCAAAGAAAAAGAGATTTTCCAACAATTAACTTGCCCAACTAACTCTACATGCGTGTGTATAATGTTTTATCTTTACGTACCTGGCCCCAAGGCCAGATAGAGAAGGTTTGGGTTAGGTGGCTGACAAACAGTGTAAAACTTTGATAGAACCCTTATGATCATAAATCCTGAGAATATTTCAGCCCTTCATTGATTGAAATGGAATAAGATTCATGTAGTCAACCACAAATAGTCGGGACAAGGCTCGGTTGTTTAATTTACTCAACTAATTTTAGTTTAATTATAAGTATTTTAGGAAATTGAAATATTAACAATACTAGTAGTTTTACTAAAGCATCCCTAAAAGTAGGAAAATACCAAAAATCTTTATTTCCCTCCGTTAACTTATCAGAAAAATATCTTTATTCCCCCGGAATATATTCTCTTGGAATAGCTTTTTCTATTTCCCTCCAGAGTTTCCAACAAACAAACAGAGCATTAGGAAATTTTAAATTAGATTTATGCTTACAGGGGTTGAAGTAACCAACCATGCCCCACTCTAACACTTGCATACAGGTCCATTTTTGGTTACTAACCTTCGCTGCAGGGATTAGATTCAACATCACAGGCCTTGGTCCATTTTTTGTTAAGAAACTTTGCTGGCTGCCCATAAAATAACTTCACTCAGGCAAGGCCGGGATTTCGTTTTCTAAGAAAATTTTTAGGCAATCCATATACGTAAATGCATATGCTCAATCATATAATTAGAGGGGGGTTGCAGATAGCTATTAAATAATTCTAGAATGGGTGGTTATTAGCAGAGAAATTTTTGTGAGAGCAAGGATGATAAGACAAACTTTTCCAGATAACATGGAAGACTTTGAAATGGGAAAAAAAACAAGCAAGCACCAAACAAATGTCCGCAGTTCTGCGAGAATCGAGGGAAAACCACAGGACCTCTAATTGAATATGTGTGTGCAGTGTGACATACTAAAAGAAAGAAGCAATTACCCTTTGACGTTTGGAGCTTGGAGAGGATGGTGGATTGCCATGTCGACTACTTGACGAGGCCCCTCTGTTTGAGTTGTCCTCAGCCTGTACATATGTAAAATGTTCAGTTAGAAAGGCTAGACGGCCATTTTACAAATATCGTAAATTTCATCTTTAACACTGGGGAAACTCTGATAATAAAGCAACCTCACTTGTGTTGAGGATGCTTGTGTAGTTCTATCCTCAATATCACCTGCTCCCTCAGATGATGGAATACTTGACCCACTTGAGTAGTGGCAGCACTCTGAGTTGTTCCTGCATGAACTACAGCAGAACTTGCACCCATTCCACGGAAGTTAACGTCACCAACATGTATATGCTCTGCAGGAAATATAGACCTCAGCAATTGATCGAGTCCGCCATGAATCTGCGTAGAAAACCCTTGACCAATTTCTGTCCCATCACCTGATGGAATGTTTCCTGAAAAACAAACAAGTTTCATGTGTTTATCAATTTATTTACTTATTTTTAATTTTTAGGAATCTTTCTTTCTAACATACTCAATTAGTTTTAAAGAGTAAAACTGAAGAGTGTATAAAGTTATACTATATAATAATAAAAGCTTAATATTGATCAATCTACTATATTATCTTCATATATACAATATTATTTTCATATACTATATATGTAGAAATCAGTACACATTACAATATGGACCGTGAATCATTCAAATGGAGATTCCTTGATCAAAGACACTTTCATACTCAAATAGAAGTTTCAAGTTTTCACATATTACCCTTTTAAAATGCAGATATTGATATTTTTTAGTACGGAGGGAATATTGTTACTTCGGATTAGGACCAAAGAAGTAATCATAGAATATATAGAGTAAAACCCTTCAACAGTGAATCAGTGATGGAAAGAGAACCATCAATCAGCTGTCTTACAATCCTACCAAGTTTTTCTACATAATAAACTTTACGAACTAACAACGATACCGTCTAGATCAAAGAAATCATAGAAGTCACAGTAAGTGCAGAGTTACTGTAAGAATTTATTTATTATTGATTGATTGTTGTATTGATTGATATATTGTATTACAAATCAGAGTGGCATTATATAGGAGAGGGTTTGGGTAGTAGGTGTAGTGTAGTGGAGGTGGTAGGTGAAGTGGGTGCTAGTGGAGATGGTAGGTGGAGGAGTAAATTGGTAAATTCTAACAGTTACCTTCTGCACCAGGAAGTCCAATGTTCTGTTGTTGTACTGCAGATTCAGGATTTTGATTTTAAAAGCTGATTAGAAGGGATTCTTAATTTTCATTTAGAGAAGCTATTTTTGTTAAAAAAATATTTTAAAATCCTTTGTTTTCCCTTAAAAGTTACCATCGTCCTTGTATGTAAAAAACCCACCCCCTTATTAAAAAAGCTATAATATAAAGGTAAATGTTAAAGACTGTTCTTGAGTATTGCTTAATATTAAAATTGGTAAAAAAGTGTATTAAAACAAGGTTAAAATATTAATTTATAATCACAAATGTTAGATACCTCAAAAAAAATTACCAACAGCTCCAAAATTATTATACTTTTAGGGCATATTTGATTGATAAAATAACAGTATGTGATTGAGATTATTAATCCGTAAGCTCAGTAATCCTGTGTTTGTTTTAAAATTTTGTTTCTGGATTATTAATCCAATAGATAATTAATCTAATAAATTTGTAGAATTATTAGTAATGGGATAGGGGTGGAATTATATATCTTGAGCTGAGAAATAAAATAAAAATACTCTTTTACCCATAAATAAAAATTAAAACACCTATTATTTTTATATAATTTTATATTTTAGAAGGCTAAAAATAATTTTTAAAAATTTAAAAATATTTTTTGATATTTATTTTATCAAATTAGTTTATATTTTTTTTAAAAAAAATTAAAAAACAAACCAAACATGACCTTTGTATTTTGAATTTTTATTTTGCTTTTATTTATTTATTTATAATTTTTTTCAAAACCACGTTTATGAAAAAAAATTTGATAAAATAAAGATTGTAAAAAAATATTGATGGAGGGTAAGATTGGAAAAGAAGATAAATATAGTTATAATCCTACATTCAAATGTTTTCTTATCCAATGCAAAAATTAAATAATGGATAAATGAATAATTTATCCTACTAATCCAATTGGATAGTGAATACCACACTAATTTAATGAAATTATTAATACTTTTCCTATTAGTGTCGTGAATCGAACAAAACCTTATAATCCAAATTTACCACAATAATAACTGAGCATTCATTGCACGGGTCTCTTTTACTAGTACTAGGATTGTACAAACAATCAATTCACTAGTAAAAACCAATCCAACCGGACCAATTCGACCCACATATGGAGCCAAATTCATTATTAAAATCTGGATTTCGACAGAGTTGTGAATTTTGTATGTGATAATCTATTTAAATTGACCCGAAACTACCTCGTTTTGGAATTCTTCAAATCAAATTTTAGCATCAAAGCTAGGATTTTCTGCAACGACAATGCTACGTAGCTCAAATTTTGTGGCTCAAAAGTGGCTCAAACGACCAAAACGACGTCGTTTTGAGTACAGAACAACATAAAAATGGCTAAAACGACGTCGTTTTGGCTATTTGAGCCACTTTTGAGCCACAAAATTTGAGCTACGAGACATTTTCCTTTCTGCAAACACTCCAAAATTCTTAGGTTTTAATGGATCAAATCATTTTGATTATTTTGTAATATTTACACCGCATCATTCGTAACATAATTATAATTTTAATAGTACTAGTAAATGGGTATGTGCGGTGCGTATGAATGTTGTGTTCTAGCCATTTAAATTTAAATTAAGGGTAAATTACAAATACACTCCTTAAGTTTGATCAAAATACGAATCGTCCCCTGTGGTTTTGGAAATTTCATTCCATCCCCTGAGGTTTCTAATTTCATAATAAATCGCTCATTTTATTAATTAATCATCAAGTCAATTAACCATTTTTAATAATGTTAGAAATATGTTTCAATTAATAATTTAGGTAATTTTATTATTGTACAGGAGAGAAATTATGAATTTCATTCTTTTAGTTAATTCTGTTAAATAAAAAATTCTAATAAGGGGGTATTTGTAATTTTCCAAACCACAGGGAGCAATCTGTACTCTAAACAAATCTCAGGGGGTGTATTTGTAATTTACCTTTAAATTAAAAATTGATAGTAGTACATGTTCCTCATTAAAGTTAAAGATAATTACATTTCAATGATTTTAAATTTCTTTCTCATTTGAATTTGAATTAAAATTAAATAATAGTACATGTTCTTTATTGAAGTTAGAAATTTTAAATTTTTTCATCTGTTTAATTGTCATTTGAATTTGAATTAAAATTAGATAGTAGTACATGATTGTCATTGAAATTAGAGGTAATTACATTTTAATGATTTAAAATTTGTTTCATATTTTTTTTGGGACACAAAATAATGGTTAGTATATTAGATTATAATACATGTTAACCTTATTATATAGACCTGAACTTGAAACCTCACTCACACTCAAATACTCTCTCCATGACTACTTGAGCAATTGGCTAAGGTCTTCTTATATTTTGTCTTACAATATAAATGAGAAGGTTGGAGAGATAACCATAATGATTGCTACATTCTCCATCATATTTTCTTTTTATGTATATACTTAATGATATTGTAGTTTTAATTTCTAAATGTGGTTTGTAAAAGCCGTGTACATAATTTCTATAATTCTGTCTGAAATTTTCCCTATTCACCTGAAGAGGGCGCTTTGCGTAGGTCTCAAAATTAGTCAAGATACGCGTAAGCTAGTTTGGACACTCAATCATCAAAAAAAAATTTGTTAACCTTTTTACTCGCTTAGTTTTCATACTCTTCTCACATCTCTAACATTTTTTATTATTTATAAAAAAAATAATAAGGTTATGGTGTTTTGGTGTGCTTCCAGTAATATATAGTTAGTTGTAACTATTATACAAATAGATAACAGGCAAACAAATAAATCATATATATATATATAGGATAAAAGATAATTTTAGTCCTTAAAGTATGTACTCTTTGTCATTTTAGTCCCCTTAAGTTTTAAATTTGTTATTTTGGTCATCAAAGTTGTCAATTTGATCCTAGGCTTAACATCTATTAATAGAAATATGAATAAAAGACAGTTTTGGTTCCTAAAGTATGCATTTCTTATCATTTTAGTCCTTCAAGTTTTAAATTTTGTCATTTTGGCCCTCAACGTTGTCAATTTAAGTCAATTTGGTCCTAACTCAATTTGACAATTTTGAGGACCAAAATGAAAAATTTTAAAATTTGAGGGACTAAAATGACAAGAAATTCATATTTTAGGGACCAAACTATCTTTTATTCATATTTATGTTAACGGATGTTAAATTTAGGACCAAATTGACTCAAATTGACAACTTTGATGACCAAAATGACAAAATTAAAACTTAAGGGACTAAAATGAAAAAGAACGCATACTTTAGGGACTAAATCAGTCTTTTATTCTCTATATATATGTATATTACCAAAAGATTCATGAATACAAATTAAAAATTGCATAAACATCTTATACTTGAGAGACAATTAAAAATACAAATTATGAATAAAAACAAAATTGCATTGAATTGTTAAATTTAAATTGGCATACACAAATTTTCAAACATATATTCTTAGCTCATGTTCAAAATGATTTGTTATGAAGTGCATGGTTAAAATTAAACCATAGACTAAGATCTATGCAAACTTATAATAAGAGTTGTCTACTTTAAGAGTCCATAGAATGGATAGGTTGACAATTTATTAAATTATAGTTTACTCTTATAGCGATCCCGGTTTTCCCTTCTTTGTTTATTGTATTCCGGACTCGGTTCCGTGGATGTTGGTCGTTGTCTCATTCTCATTTCTATCCTTTACTCTTTATATTTGAGTCTTGGGTTGTGTTGGGCAGGTTTGGACAGGCTGGTTGTGTTTAGAAACCAAAAGTTGATGCCTAGATTTTGGCCTTCACGCTCGAGCGGGGCTTTTGACGCTCGAGCGGGCCCTTGTTTCTCTCAGTATTTTGTTCTGCAGGTCGTTGGACGCTCGAGCGTCCACTTTCACGCTCGAGCGAGGACCATCGACTGCAAAACTTCTAAAAGTGTGCATCCGGCGCTAGGGCGGTGCTTTTGACGCTCAAGCGTGAGTGTGTGTCTAACGCTCAAGAGGGGAATCCTACGCTCAAGCGGACCCTGCAAAACTTCTAAAAGTGTGCATCCGGCGCTAGAGCGGTGCTTTTGACGCTCAAGCGTGAGTCTGTGTCTGACGCTCAAGTGGGGAATCCTACGCTCAAGCGGACCTGTTTGTATATCAATCCGAATTTTGACTTTTTGGATCACTTTTTCGGTGCCTTTTCTCTCTCTAACTTTTCAAAACCTCCATTAGAGAGCTCCTCTCTCTAGATTTCAACTTCTCTCCAAGGTTTGATCTAGTTTGAGTGATCTTCCACCCTT